AAAGGGCCCTCAAATCATGTACATCAAGTTAGTCTCCTTTCTTAATTGACTTAATTTCTCTGTATCTTGTTGTCTATTAATATTATTATTGAAGTAATGTAAATTTAACTTCAAGTAAAAAAGGCACTTTTTGTACTTCTGTTCTGTGTCTAAAATTTTGATTTTATCAAAATTGAAGTTGTGTGTAAATTCAATGCTATGTTGTGATAGTACAGATGTATCTTTTTTTTTCCTCCATGTCTCTTTTATGTTCTGCCATTCTTAATTTTAAAGCTTTCGATGTTTGACTGACATAACAGCAGTTGCAATTCGCACATGGTACGTGGTAAACGACATTATTTTTATCGAGTGGCTCAGTTACATCTTTTCCAAGTGAAAAGATCGCATTTAAATTATTGTTTAAACTGTATACAAGACCAATGTGAAACTTCTTACAGAAATATTTGATAGGACCGTGCAAGTGGGGAATATACTGTAATGATAAGATTACTTTATAATTATGATTGTTTTTATTGCAAATGTCTATCATGTTCATGTTTTTCAAGGTATTTATTCTTTTGTTTAAAAGTTTATCAATAAATTTTTGAGGATAGTTGTTAGCTAGTAGAAATTTATTGATAAATTTCAAATCATCGTTATGAAATTGAGTGTCTGCTAACTTAAATGAAAAGTCTACTCATGTGTAAATGATACCTATTTTATGTTGTATTGGATGGTGGGAGAGAAAATTCAAGTATTTGCCTGAAAGTGTGGGTTTTTGGTACCAATTAGTTAGCACTTTGTTATTTTGTTGAATAATAATTTTTAAATCTAAGAAACTAATGCTGTTGTTGTTGCATGTCTCAACAGTGAATTGTAATTCCGGACAATAGCTATTAAAAATGTTTCTAGTATAGTTAATATATTTAGTAGGTACACACATGAGAATATCATCCACATACCGCACATACAGTGGAACATCAAAACATTACTTCTCTAAGCATGAAATTTCAAGTAAACGCATTACAAGATCACATAGAACTGGACTACAGGGACTGCTCATTGGAGAGCCAAAAATTTGTTTATAAAATTTGATGTTGAAATGGAAAAAAGTGGAATTAAATATCAAAAATACACCTGTGCAAAATTCATTGAGAGAAACAGTCATTTTACCATTCAAGAATTCCCAAAAATGTCTTATTGCACTTATGATTAAGGTTTCACTAGTATTAGTAAACAAACTAACAACATCTAGACTAATAAGAGTGTAACCGGGTGAAATGAAAATATCTTTCAATTTGTTTTTTAACTCATAACTATTTTTTACGTGTGATTTCGCCAGCGAAATATTCTCAATCAAAAAATCAGAAAAAAATGTAAGTAGGTAAATTCAGTGTCGAGACAATGATACGGATAGGAAAGTCTTTTTTGTGCATTTTTATTAGTCCGTAGCATTTAGATAAGTTTTTTTTATGAATATCTTTATTAAACTTATTTAATTCATCAAAAATACCGTATTGATTCCACTTGCCTACAAAATTTTTTGTATCTTCAATTAATTGCTTTAAAGGATTATTTTCTAGCTGTAAATAATATTCATCGTCACTTAATAATTCTTCTACTTTATTACTGTAAGTTTCTTTGTCGATGACAACAGTGATGTTACCTTTGTCTGCCTTAGGAATTAAAATGTGTTTATTATTTTCAAGAAATACTCTTGTTTGCTTTAAATTGTCTTGGAGAATTCCATCATTTAAAGAAAGACGAGTAGGTACATTGTGTCTATTGTTACCAATAATGTTAAGTAGTTCTTTTGTGACAGTCTCAAATTCTTCTGAATATTTTAATGAATGTTCGACATTCTTGAAAAGTTGAAAATAATCACATTTATTAACATTAGAAACAAAATTAAATTTATCGCCCAACTCTAATATGCTTGAAACACAATCCGGTAGCGGTGTGTTAGAAAGGTTACATAGCCAGTTTTCTTTTATTTCACTTATGCCTTCATTGTTGACAAATGCAGGGCACCGAACCGGGCCTAGGTAACTGACACTTTTAGTTGAAAGTGTATTGTATATACTTTCGCGCTCGGATTCTTCATCTGAGAAGAGGGCATTAAACTTTTTTTTTCTAATTTATAACGATATTCGCGAAAAATGCTATTTAATTTTAATTTGTAATATTCAATAAATAAATCTATCATATAAGATTCACAGCCATCACTTAATATTTTTTCTTTAATTAATTCTATTTTATTTCTTAAAAAATTAGTTTTTGTGTACGAGTCCGAAAATTCATTATTTAAAATTAATTTGTGTAATTTAGAAATAACTAATTTATGTTTCATATTCGATCGGAAACTAAAAGTAATAAATTACACTCATATAGTTTGCAGTTTGTAGAGTGCAAGAGGAGGTGCGTGGTGAAAGGGGCACATCTGCGCAGTCAGGGGGTATCCCCGTTCCTCACCTCTCTGAATGATACTCCCAAACCTCCTTAAGGCACATTGTTAGCAATATAGGTTTTACGTTTTTCTAGTATTTTACCTTACTTTTTAAAATTGAAATTTGTTTGAATTTGCAACATATTTCTCTTCTCGGTGACGATCCCTCTGACTTTACGCCTTGGACACCAGCTCATCTACTGAACTTACAGCCAGTCATATTGTACCTAATGCGGATCACTCTGAGGTTGGAAACTCATTTCCTAACTTGCTTAACAATTTTGGCTCAGGTGGTCGCAGGAGGATCTTGTCATCATAAAAACGAAGTCACACTACTTGGCTCTTAAAATTCACCACATGTAGTGGAGGTTTTCCCAGGTACCGATTCACACGTTAGAGTTGTTAAGTTACGCACTGCCGACACCACCCTGTCTAGACCCATTACTTAGTTTTGTTGAGTTGTTATAGTGAATTAAAACCGTGACATGAGTTGTTGAAATTAAAACGCCTGCCTTCTTGAATCTTAAGTGTAATTTTTCTTAAATAATAAAGTTTACCGCTCCAAAAATTTTTTGTAAATTATCTGGTTTCTTTTTGCAGGTATTTTGTTTGTGACTCTTTAAAGTGTAAAATCTTTTAATTCAACGTTACTTTAAGGGTAATTTAACTTAATAGTTAAATATAGCATAGAATTGCTAGTAACAGTAAAGATTTATAGATTTTTATTTTTATGGCTCTTAAAATGTTGGATTTTTTGGGTTTTTCCATTAACATAAGGGTTAGGATTTCCTAATTGCTTTCAGTTGTTACCGACATTATTAAGTACCTACCGGGTAGATCACTTTTTTCGAGACTACTACTTTCGCATAATTTACACAACATATGAGTGGGCTGTTTGTATCCTACTCCAATTATAGTCATAGTTTTTTAGTCAAAACAAAAAAGCCAACTCTGTAGTTTATTTGTAATTTGTAAATCTTAGTCACAACGCAGTTTTCCTATGAATAATGAAAGATAATGAGACTGTCTGTAACTTTGACTTTTTAAATTTCACAATGACTTTGAGCTTGAGTATTATTTAATGAAAACTGAGTAAAGTAGCCGATGGAGATGTTACTTTTTTTTGTGTATGTTACAATATAGTTTTTTAAGCCATTAAAAAAAAACAAGGACTTGAGTGATAAGTAGTAGAATTTTACAACTCTACTAGTCTACAATTTCTGTTATTGAATAGAATGCCACATAAATAAGAGTAAAATTGTACTACCTGCACAATATGTCACCGCTGTGCATAAAAAAAAATTTTAACTGTCCTATATGTTAATTATTTTGCATATCTATCCCACTGTGCATTTATATGATAAATTTGGTATTTTTTCGTACAAAAATCAATGTAATTATTTAGAGCCATGGTATAACAGATCTCAGTATAATTTTTACAGAGTAATTCGGTGTAATGGTAATGCACTGGTTTTTTTTTTTTTTTTTTTACACCTGCAAAATCAGAATATAAACTGCAAAATACATGTAAAAAAACTGCAAATTGCATTGATAGTTAGAGAACAGTGTTATAAATGTTGCGAGCCAAATTTACAGACGTAGTCATTTGATCTAAGAAACATTCCTAGTACCACATTGTAAGTTTTGAGAAGCACACCCGTGTACGCACTTCTCATGCACTTCTTACGCACGCATGTAAAAATTGCATTAGAAATGCATGGGTCTGCTTCTCAAAATTTACGGTAAGCTACCAGGGATGTTAATAGCTGCAAAGTCAGTTAAAACCAATTTTTTTTTTTTAATTGAACTGTTTTATATCAATATTTTATTTTTGTATCCTAGGTAACTTTAACCTATTTTGTACTTCACGATAATGGCTAAAGAAAAGATGTGAAAGTATCATTACTTATTGTGAGCAAATCGTGCAACTTAACGACTTAACGTAATATAAAAAGTGTTGATATTGAAAATGTTATTTAAAAAATTTGATATGTTAGCCATTCTTAATTTATGCCGTATGTTTTATGCCAATCGTATTACCGACTAACTAGGAATTCGCATAGTTTTCAGTAGTTTATCCTTACATTAGTAGAACTAATATTACAACAAGTCAATGCAACTGCGTCAAAACTAACGTTTAAGTGATGATATCTGCTGTACGTTTGTAGACCTTTTTTTTGAAACAATGATCATCACAAATTAGCATGGAGTATGTGACTGCAATCGTTAAAAAAATAGGTTTATACGTTTTCTCACTAAATGCTCCTAAAATTACTTAAAAGTTATGTTTGAACTTATAAATCAACTATTGTGAATATATGTGATTTTAAAAAATTTTGTGCAAGGGATTACTTGTACATACTTTTATCTTCAAGTATATAATACTTATTTTTAAAAATATTAAAATTAGAATATACAAGTATTATGTTATTAAAGTTTGTTTACTTTTTAATATTATTTTTGTCAAATAAATGTCTTATAACCCATGCAAGTAAAGCGCTCCTGTGTTGTATACTTGTATTGTACATCCAAGTCAGTAGATAAAACAAATAAAACGCTTGACATCCTTTTACAGCAAGTGGCGAGGATCCATCTTTTGTACCAAAGGTTCGAAAAGAGTTGATAGGTTATCATAGCCATTCAACAACTTCTCAAAGTACCGTTTCATCTCCTGGTGCAGCTAGTATTAATTCAGTACATGAAGATTATCCCGACATAAACAGTACTAGCTGGCCAAGAACACCAGCAAGTCCAGTAAGTTGATCAAATTTTTAATTTTTTGTATTTTAAATTACGTTTTATGAAACACTTAGAGACTGTCATTTTTTACCTATTGAATGTTTTTATACATGATTGTTTCTGAGTATGTATGTTATACAGATACCCGTTAAAAAAATGTTCGTATATCTATTTATACCCGTTTATCTTTTTTTGCTTGATTGCTCCTCTCTTTTTCCAAGTATGCCAGTTTTTTCTGCGCCCAAGAAAAAATTTCATGCTATCAACGATTGCTTTATAAGAGCACTACCTCGTGTACTAATTCAATAGACCTTTACCTTGACATTCGAGAATATATCTAGTGAAAATATTTTATTGTTAAAAATATAGTTTAAATAATAAAAATTTTAAACTCTAATAGAAATTTTAATTCCATCAAATTATTATTTACATATTTTGTTTAATTCGAAGCGATGCTGTCATAAACCAAGTAAATCTAGTGAGCCCGGGAGTAATAAATTACTTATAAGTCAGTGGTTCTATTTTATTTGCCTTAATTAATGATTCTCAATAAGTACGCTAAAAAGAGTGGTTGTTTATGTATTTTAAAAGTGTATACTTATACATCTTAATTAAACTGCCGTTCATAGTAAGTTACAATTACTTACGACCTAAAAATTTCCTCATGAATTCTATAAAAATTTAACATAAATTTGGTATTACCTTATAATTCATTCTTTACTTACTTTGGCAGTCAGCTAGAAATTGGTACCCACTCCGTCTCAGGTTCTAAGTTAATTTTACAATCCACTAAGTTGTCATGCATATGAAAAAGTACACAATGTATTTAAATAAGATTTGAGTGGATTCTATACTAGTTTCTGTTGAATTCTTGGCCTATTTTGCACTTATACTTGGCTTAAACTGTGTTCTAATCACCAAGAATTTTTATGGGATATTTTAACATGTGAAATCTTAAGTCAACAGTCGTTGTCGTTGTAAAAATTGTTATGTATTTTTTTGTTTTATTTTATTTTTGTAGTAATTATGTGACCTATAAGCTTTTAATTTAAATTTCATATAAATTTTTCTTCGATGGTATGTCAAAGAATAACAAATATTTCAGAACATAGTCTGGTAGGAATTACTACAAAACTACAGTTTTCTCGGTACATGGATTTCATACAGTATATTAAGTGGATGGTATAGTACATTGAATTTTGTTACATATTTTGAGCCCTTCTGTACCTTCCTAGAGGCTCTCCACATGATACATACGACTAAATTAATTATTTTCTACAAAATTTTTTGTATCTGATTTCATAAAACCTTTTTGCCGGCCCAGTGTCTACTGTTTTTGTTTTCTAAGCATTTGTTAAGGTGTCCTTTCTTTTTGCAAATGAGTTTATTGAGTTAGTTGAGTTATTAGGTAATTGTTATTATGTTCCAGATTACATTTGTAGATTTTAATACAGTAGACTTTCAGAATCTCTAAGCAATTATTTTATTATTCCTAATGACATATTACGGCTGATCTTATTAGTAATTCAGACTTCTCTTAACGAAGCTTCAAGATTTATTAAGTATTTACATCATTTCTCACAATATATTTTGCTTTTATGCATGACTTCGAAATTTATAATTTTTGTGATGAGACTTTCTGACACCTCACAGCTAATATAAGTTATACAAACAAAAAGGCTACTTTTAGACATCTACAATAAAATAGAGAGCTTAAGATCTGCTATACAGCTGGCTGCCGAAAGCAGTTTGTACTTTGCGCCATAGTGACGAAGTGTAACGAGAGTACGTACTCTTATTATTTTGAAATGTAAAATGCAACACTTTATTCTGTTAAATTCTAAAATTTAGTAGTCTGTTGTCAAATTTTTTAATTTTTAATATTAAAAGAACAAGAAGTAAAATTTAGTTTAGTAGAGACAAAAAATAAGATTCGTTTTTTTCAAAGATTAAATTTTATCTCTTACACCTTACAAAAAATTCTACCTTAATTTGGTCTTTGCAGAAGATTAAATACACTTACATATTCTTTATTAAAGCATTAAATGCATTATTTCTCCTTTAGAAATATAATTTCATTATTTAAAAACATAAAAGTACCACATTATATTCTTTGGATTCTAAAATTTTTGTCTTTCTGCTGTTGGAATGTAGTATTTTGGTTTTGAGTGCATATATTCTACTCAAGCTAAGAATAATGGTTGGATTGTACCAGTTTTCATTATTAAAATTTAATTTTCAACTATTCGGAGTAGTGACCATTACTATTATCAAGTTGATTTTCTTATTGTATTATGTATATTTGTTAAAATACGATATATTTGATGTTATCAAAATGTACTTAAACCTCTTTATTAGTTAAATTGGACACTACACATAAATGATGGTAATTTACATCAACTATCAGAATTTAGATAAAACTAATGTTTAAACTCATACAAATCCTTATAAAATAAATATTTTATGTTGACCATTTTAATAGTTCTTAAAAAATTTTGGTATAAAAGGCACACTAATAAACGTATTAGTCTGTATAAAAGTGCAGTCCTCCATATACTATTTTAAATATATCTCTAATACAAATGAATTAAGGCTCTCACAGGCATATAAAAGTGTACTTTTTTTTGGCATACTTCTGCGGATTCTGCAATAGGCAGTCTGCGAGTAAAAGTTGTTTCCTGAGGACATACGTAATCATATAATTATAGCGCATGAGACGCATGCGGATGCGCTAAAGCAGTGGGGTCAGCTCGTCCAGTGCTTTATCGTGTAAAATTTGAATGAGGGGTTTGTGGTCCGTTTCTAGTACAACTTGTATACCGGTGACATACTCTTTGAATCTCTCGGTCGTGAAGGCTAAAGCTAGCGCCTCTTTCTCAATCTGACTATACCTTTGTTCGCATGACGTCAGTGTTTTTGAAGCGTATGCAACAACTTTACGGATAGAACTCTCGTCTTCCTGTAACACAGTGGCGCCTTAGCCCGTATCCTGATGCGTCGGCTTGTATTATCATTTTTTTTGAGTAATCAAAGTGCGCGAGCGTTGATCCTTCTTTGATTAGTTTTTTATGTTAGCGAATGCGTTTTCTTGTATATCGAGCCATGTAAAAGGAGATCTGCCCTTGAGTAAGGCGTTGAATGGCTTGACAACTGCAAACTTATTGGGGATATGCTTTCCGACGTAATTTACCATACCTAAAAATTATTGGACAGATTCCTTGCTTTGTGGCGTCAGAAAGTCTACGGTAGCAGATATGCAGTAAGGCAATATATCAATGCCTTCCGTGGAGACGCCATGCCCCAAGAAGTCCGAGATGTCAGTCGCAAAAACATACTTTTTCCTGTTCAAAGTCACACTCTCTTTGCTCAGACGCTCGAGTACAGTTTTCAATGCCCTATCGTGCCCTTTTCGATTGAGTACGTGTATTAACACGTCATCTACGTAGACGATTATATTCGGTATGCCGATCAGTAATTCCGAGAACATTTGAGCAAAATAATCCGATGCGCAGTTGACGCCGAAAGGTAAATATTCATAAATGAACCTCCCAAACGGAGTAATAAGACAAGTTAACTGCTGGCTTTCTTTATCCAGCTTCATCTTGTGTTATCCAGATTTCGCTTTTTTGAAAAAAAAGTTTTCGGTCTAGTTTTGAAAAAACTTTGTTGCCTTCCAGCATCGCTAACAATGTATCCACTCTCGGTAGTGGATATTCCGCACGTTTGACTTCTTCGTTCAGTCGGATAAAATCGAAGCACAACCGGATTTCTTCCGAGTCTTTTTAAGATACTACCGTTACTGGGCTATACCAATCAGTTGGGCCTTCCGCTGGTTTAATCACGCCATTTTTTGCTAATGTTTCGAGCTGCTCTCTTAATTTTGAAAGAAGAGATATGGCTACTGTATGTGGTGTCGATTGAAAATACGGGATTGCGCCATCGCGAAGATGGTTTTTCAAAGATTTTATGAATCTACCGAGACCGTTAAACACTTTGGGAAAGCTTCATAACCACTTTAAATCGGTTAATCGTTCGCTTGGCTTATTGACATGATAATTCTTTTTGATTAAATCAAGCGGCCAATCTCCGGTTTTCCTAATAGGTTGTCTTTCAAATTTTTGATAATGTAAATTTTCCTGTTTATTTTTTTTTCTACCGAAAAAGGAACTCGCGTTGATGTAGCCCATGGTAATCAATCGCGCATCCCCAGCTGAGTACAAATTCTTATCGCTAATTTTGCATTTCATTTCATTTAGCAAATTCGTCTGGTAGACACGTGTCTGAAACGCACGTCACGTCTTCACCATTATCTATAGTAAATAAGGTTTCGTTCAGAAGATCAGAAACGTGCTGCTTAACTGAGTAGTCTCCTTCCGAGTTTCCTTGTTCCTTGCTTTCGGGCGTCTTCTTGGAATTTTTCCAATTTTACGCATGTTTGTTTTGTTTCGTGACGCGATTAACCACGTCGAGATTTGCTGTCTCTTTCCGAAATGCCTTGCTCTCTTTAGCCTGAGCTTCGGCTTGCCGTGCCATGGTGATGGCCTTTTTTAGTTTCAAATCCGGTATTAATTGCAGGCGATCTGATACGCGAATATCATGTTTACCTGTTACGGTGCGATCTCTGATCAGTTCGTCTTTGAGATTTCCGAACTCACAAGACTCTGCTAGCATAGGAAACGCCGTCACGAATACGTTAACACATTCTTACTCCGACTGAACACGAGAGTTAAACTTAAAGCATTTAAATATGGTGTTTTTCTTCGGAATAATGTAACCGCTAAACTTTTTTGTAACTTCTTCCAGTGTTGTTGTTTCGGTGATTTGAAGAAAGATTTCTCTTGAAATTTCCTCCAACTTATGTCCCATGACGTAACAGCATAGGTCAACTTTTTCCTTCTCGGATTTTCCCGATAGGTTGGCCACTGATATGTAGCATTCGAATCGCTTAAGCCACGTGTGCCATGCCTCGGGCTTGTTGAAATCATATTCGTTAGGGGTATTGCCGTTTGGAGCCG